AGAAGCCAGGCACCACCCATGAGCCCCCTCCAGCCCCTCAGCACAGAGGAGCACCCATTGCTGATCCCACCAAACACTGTGCTTGGACTTGGTACCTAAAAGCCGTTGTCATGCTTGCCCTGCCCTTGCTGCCCACCCTGTGTGCCCCTCTCGCAGCCGTGCCAGCCTGTGCTTGACTCACAATGCTGGTGTTCCAGCCAGTGAGGAAGAGGCGGTAGGTGAGGAAGTCAGCCTTGCCCGACTCAGCCATCTTCTGCTCCAGGGAGGCAAGCAGGTCGTTGAACCAGGCAAAGGCTCCCGTGTCCCGGCACAGCCAGTAGAAATAGATCTGGGATGCAGGGAGAGGGGATTGCTCAGGGTGAGGCAGAGCCAGAGGAAGCAACCCACAGCTGGTGCCATCCATGGGACACTCTGTACCTTCTTGGTCTTGAGGGTCTGGTCACCCTGCTGGAACTTGTACCAGATGGACTTGAGGATGGAGGCGAAGGGGGTGACACCGATGCCCGCTCCGACCAGCATGGCCACCTCGTACTGGAACACGTCTTCACTGGCTGTGCCAAAGGGACCGTCCACCTCGATCCTGGCCAGAGCAGGGCCTGGGTGAGAGCTGCTGCCTCCCCAGACCCCTGGCATGACCGTTGGGCACTGCCCAGCCTACCTGGGTGTTTCCAGCTGAAAGGTGTTGATGAGACGCTCTGTCCAGTCGCCGGCTGCCCGGATGTGGATGGAGAAGAAGTCCTCCTCAGGTGCAGAGGTGAGGGTGAAGGGGTGCCACTCCAGTGCAGAGATGGCGGGGCAGTTGACAAAGATGTACTGCCCCACCTCCATGCAGAATCCCTTCTTCTGCATCTGCAGCTCCAGCACGCGGGCAGGGTGCATGACCACCTGGGCACGGGCAGGGCTCAGTGCCCAGCCTGGCACATGTCCCGAGGAAGGGGCTGTGCCTGTGGCCCTGCCCGCCTCCCCATGGCCCCCCAAGGGGAGGAGCTGGCAGAGGAGCAGCTCCTGCAGCACCCACCTTTTTGACAACCACCTTCTGCTGCGCACGCCAGACCCGCAGGAGCCGCTCAAAGACGTAGAGGATGATGGGGGCCAGAACCCACTTCCAGGACTGAGGATGGAGGAGAGCAAAGGATTGGGCATCCCAAGGACAAGGGAAGAGCTTCTCCCCCAGGGCCACCCCACCACTGCCCTACCTCGGCAGGGATGCTCCCGAACTCGGGGTCTTTGCAGCAGCTGTGGGTGCAGTTGTGCTCCCGCTGTGTGAGGTACTCGGCGCAGTCGTAGGGGGGCACCTCTGCCATGCTCTGCTCCGTCTGCCCACGCACCAGCCCGCTGCAGGAGGCGAGGGGTGAGCCCAGGGGCAGCTCTGCCCCCAGCCAGGGCTGAGCCACGCTGCGTGAGGCCAGCTGGGCTAGCCAGCCCTGGGAATGGCAGGTCACAGCCCCACTGCACTGTCCCCATAGCTGCCCCCCAGGGGTGTGTGTGCCCTGCCCCTCGCTGCCCTGCCCTGGGCACTGCTGAGGAGCCTTACGCGATGCCGTGGATGACGAGGCCAGCGAAGTAGACGAGGAACAGGTGGTGTGTGTACCAGAAGAGCTCAAAGTAGTTCCTGCGGATGAACTCGGTGGAGGACGTGACCATGAGGATGAGTGCCAGCGTGATGATCACCCCCGTGAGCCCCGGGATGGTGGTGAAAGCCACGTACTCGACGGTCTGCAGGGGCAGCAGGGGGTCAGGGGAGCAGGGGACAGGGGTGCTGCGTTGCTGCATGCCAAGGCCACACTCACAGTCTGGTTGGAGTGGATTGGGTTCAGCCACTTGCTGCCCTGCAGGTGCATCTTGGACAGCACAGCGGGGAGGCTGCCGTCGGCGGCTTGCTGGCTCTGGTTGTAGCGCTCCAGGTTGAAGAGGTGGGCGATGGTGTGCACAGCTGGACAGGGCACAGGCAGTCACCACCAGGCACTCCCAGTCCCCACTGCCCCCCATCCCAGTCCAGGGCGTACCTGTGAGCAGGGCCAGTGCGTAGGCCACCAGCTTGTGGAAGGTGAGGTTGTGGTCCAGCTGCTTCCGCAAGGTCCGCCTGCAGCACTGCAGGGAGAGGTGGCAGGATGGTCAGGATGGGACAGGGATGTCAGGATGGGA